ATTGAACTCAGGCCCTTGCACTTGCCAGGGAAGTGCTTATTCCATTGAGCCATCTCCCCAGCCCCGAAATATGGTTTTAACATTAGCATTTATGTTTGTGCCCCATCTTTAGCAATCTTAGGTATAAAGTGCAGTAAAAGTCAACGTTCATTCTTTCTATATGGATATCTACCTGCTCTGAGCCTGCACTCTCTTAGTAACTTGTGTTCTGACTATCAGGTTTCATCTTTCTACTCCAAGTGGTTTATAAAGGTCTTTCCTCTACAAAGACAACCTCTCCACATACTCCAGCAGAGGATAGTCATAAATATGTACACACTGTATAATCCCCTTTATGTGAGCTCTAAACAGGCAATATTAATCTAGGATGGCAGAAGGCAGAACAGTACCTACCTCTGGACAGTGACATTTCCTGGAAAAGGGAATTTTTTTTTAAACAGGTCTATGTATGTGTGGCTTTGAACTCACTGTGTAGCTTGGCCTTGAATTTGTAACAATCCTCCTGGTTCAGCCTCCCAAATTCTGGGATTACAGGTGTGAGCCACCATGGTTGACCATTTAAAAATTTTCTAAGGCAAGGGCCAGCAAGATAGCTCAGTGGGCTAAGTGCCTGCTTTGGCAAGTGCAAGGACCAGGCTTCAATTCCTGGTCCCGCATGTTATGCCACACATACCCTCTCGGGGCGCATGGATCCAGCCACAGAGTCCAGGTGTGGTGGTGCACACCTGTAATCTGAGCACTGGGGAGGCTGTAAACAGGACGGTCACTACGCATCTGAGCTGTGTCATGAGACCCTGTACCAAATAAATTTAAAAAAATTCTAAGTCAAAAATTTTCTAAGACCCTCATAAATCTGTCCACTTGTTTTGGAATCCATTTATGTTTCCATCCAGCAGCACCTCTTGGTGGGGGGATGGAGTTTTTAAGCTTCTTGCTCACTGTGGAAGGGCTATCCTGCTTCTCACACGGGTAAGCTTGTCTTGTTCGAGCTTTGTCCCTGTGGGTCCCTTTGTTATTTTCATCTGGAGTCTCATAGAGATCAGAGAAGGCCACAGCATGGTGAGACCTGGAAGATCAACTAATTAGTGCTTCCCAAACTACCTGAGGATTTTGGAATATAGATTCCAGGGCTCTGGATATTCAGACTCAGTAGATATTACAAAGGAATGGGGGGGTTCTTTTTTATTTAATGAAGATCTTTTATTGTCTCATTAAAATACAAAGATTGGCTTTACAAAAAAAAAAGAAATTCATATTACTTTGTTAAGTGAAACTGTGTATCACTTGTATTTTTTTGTTCTAATTCTAATTGTACTCTCTTTAAAAACTAAACTAAAATATTTACTTTTGTTTTTAAAAAAATTTCTAAGGCAATGTAACTGTCTCATGTTGATTAGATGGCAGTCACATGAGTGTATAAATACGTAAGAATTCACTGAGCTCTTATACTACAGCCTTGGGTATTTATTGCATGTAAACCATAGTTCAGCTGAAAACAAACAGATCCTGCCACCACCCCACACACAAATAGAAGGAAGGACCTGGCTGGTATCTGTGCTGTTGGTGGCTGTATCACCAAGTCTCTAGAGAGTGCTTTGCTGCAGAGTGAATGTTTAGTACATTTGCTAAATGAGTTGATGAATGACTGGGAGGATTTCTTGTAACACCTGTTATGTTCCTAATATTTCCACAGAGACATTAAGGAAAGACAGCAGCAAAGGTGTTTTGTTGTGATCCAGATGCATCAGCAGAACCACACCCACCTTTGGGGCTCTCCTAGAGATCAGAGTTGCTCATCTTGCAGCATATGTTCATTCAACTCATTTCATGAATATTTAATGAATTTATGTGTTGTATACAAAGCTCTTTTTCAAGGTTTTGGGTTTTTTCTTT